CCTTTCATAGGCTTTTTTGGGTGTGGTTTGAGTGTGGGTGAGGACACAGGGGCACCATGATCCCCTATTGCCAGTGGGGCCCCATGAGTTGTCAGTCCACCCCTGGTTCACACTAGCTTTGTTAGCAGGGAAGCGTTTTTAATGCTCCTCAAAGACCTATGAAAATTCTACACATGGCAGCACACAGCGCTGTTCACACTGAAGCGTTGCGTCGCAGCAAAATTGACACCTCATGTCCAGTCAGGAGGAGTTGAAGCCTCCCATTCAAGTCTATGGTGACGCTCCTCAAACGCCTGGTAGGCATTTGCGGGGCGTTTGCGGAACGCCAATACCATTAAAACTTCATTATAGGTGTTTGTGGTGCGGTTTTTTGCGCTTGGAAAACGCCTATCAAAAGCCTCAAAAATGCGCATAGGGTGTTTGGGGTGCATTTGGGGACCATTTGAGGAGCGTTAAAAACTCCAAACGTCTAACGCCTGTCAAGCGCTATATAGGCTTTTGGAAAGAGTTAGAAATTGATCAAATGTTAGAGAATCGGAGTTAGATTTACCAAAACTAGAGCACTCGGAATCTGGTGCAGCTCTGCATGGCAGCCAATCAGCTTCCAACTTCAGCTTGTTCAATTAAGCTTTGGCAAAAAAACCCGGAAGCGGATTGGTTTATGTTCAGAGTTGCACCAGATTTTGCACTCTCCAGTTTTAGTAAATAATCCCCCATAGCGTTACATGGTTGGTGTCAGTGGGAGGAATAGTGCCCCATCATTGGTGTCAGTGGGAGGAATAGTGCCCCATCATTGGTGTCAGTGGGAGGAATAGTGCCCCATCATTGGTGTCAGTGGGAGGAATAGCGCCCCATCATTGGTATTGGTGGAAGGAATAGTGTCCCATCATTGGTGTCGGTGGGAGGAATAGTGCCCCATCATTGGTGTCAGTTGGAGGAATAGTGCCCCATCATTGGTATTGATGGAAGGAATAGTGCACCATCATTGGTGTCAGTGGGAGGAATAGTGCTCCATCATTGGTTTCAGTGGGAGGAATAGTGCCCCATCATTGGTGTCAGTGGGTGGAATAGTGTCCCAACGTTCATGTCAGTGGGAGGAAGAGTGCCCCATTGTTGCTGTTATTGGGAGAAATAGTGCCCTGTTGTTGGTGTCAGTGGGAGGAATAGTGCCCCATCATTGGTGTCAGTAGGAGGAATAGTGCCTTATTATAGGTGTCAGTGGGAGAACCAGTGCCCCATTGTTGCTGTTATTGGGAAGAAGAGTGCCACATTGTTGGTGTCAGTGGGAGGAATAGTGCCCCATCATTGGTGCCAGTGGAAGAAATAGTGCCCCATCATTGGTGTCACTGGAAGGAATAGTGCCCAATTATTGGTGTCAGTGGAAGGAATAGTGCCCCATTATTGGTGTTTTTAGGAGAAATAGTGCCCTATTGTAGCTGTTATTTGGAGGAATAGTGCCCCATAATTAGTGTTAGTGGGAGAAATAGTGCTCAATCAATGGTATCAGTGGGAGGAATAGTGCCCCATCATTGGTGTCAGTGGGAGGAATAGTGCACCATAATTGATGTCAGTGGGAGGAATAGTGCCCAATCATTGGTGTCAGTGGGAGGAATAGTGCACCATAATTGGTGTCAGTGGGAGGAATAGTGCACCATAATTGGTGTCAGTGGGAGGAATAGTGTCCCATCATTGGTGTCAGTGGGAGGAATAGTGTCCCATCATTGGTGTCAGTGGGAGGAATAGTGCCCCATCATTGGTGTCAGTGGGAGGAATAGTGTCCCATCATTGGTGTCAGTGGGTGGAATAGTGCCCCATCATTGGTGTCAGTGGGAGGAATCATGCCCCATCATTGATGTCAGTGGGAGGAATCATGCCCCATCATTGGTGTCAGTGGAAGGAATAGTGTCCCGTCATTGGTGTCAGTGGGAGGAATAGTGTCCCGTCATTGGTGTCAGTGGGAGGAATAGTGCCCCGTCCTTGGTGTCAGTGGGAGGAATAGTGCCCCATGATTGGTGTCAGTGGGAGGAATAGTGCCACATCATTGGTGTCAGTGGAAGGAATAGTGCCCCATCATTGGTGTCAGTGGGAGGAATAGTGCCCCATCATTGGTGTCAGTGGGAGGAATAGTGCCCCATCATTGGTGTCAGTGGGAGGAATAGTGCCCCATCATTGGTGTCAGTGGGAGGAATAGTGTCCCACTGTTGCTGTTATTGGAAAGAATAGTGTCCCATCACTGGTGTTAGTGGGAGGAATCCCTCACTGCAGGCAAAGCGCCACATCCGGCCCCCTGGGCAGTAGTTTGGAGACAACTGCCATAGAAATAAACAAACATTTGGCCCTTGCAGTTTTCCTTCCCAGGGAAATGGGGTTTAAACCTTGCAATGGGGTACAAGGATGCATTTTGTCTCATTCCCTTTTTTTTTAATGCTGCAAGCAGTGTAATTACCTGAATTGGATTTGATATCATCCTGTTGTTGTCCACTGTGCAGTCTATACAGCAGAGCTCAGAGAAGGGGAGGGAGAAGCAGCATGAAGAGCCAGTCAGTTGTCCTGGCTGATAGGAGGAGAGAGTGTGACAGTACTGTTCTCAGTGCAGGTCATTAACACTGAGCTTGATAAAACTGGACACCTCAAGGCTGCATTCACACCTGAGCGTTTTGTGGCTCGAAGCTTGACGCTCAATGCTTGCAGATGCTCAACAAGCAAAATCCCATTCATTTCAATGGCCCCTGTTCATATTTGATCGTGAATAGGGGCCTCTGAAATGAATGGGATTTTGCTTGTTGAGCATCTGCAAGCATTGAGCGTCAAGCTTCGAGCCACAAAACGCTCAAGTGTGAATGCAGCCTTGAGGTGTCCAGTTTTATTAGGCTCAGTGTTGAGCATCTTCAAGCATTGAGCATCTTCAAGCTTCGAGCCACAAAACGCTCAAGTGTGAATGCAGCCTTGAGGTGTCCAGTTTTATCAGGCTCAGTGTTGAGCATCTTCAAGCATTGAGCATCTTCAAGCTTCGAGCTACAAAACGCTCATGTGTGAATGCAGCCTTGAGGTGTCCAGTTTTATCAGGCTCAGCGTTGAGCATCTTCAAGCTTCAAGCTACAAAACGCTCAAGTGTGAATGGCACTGAGAACCGACCAACATTGGAGAAGAAGATCTCATTGGTCCTATGACTGGCTCAAAAGCACCTAGATTTGGGTTGTGTATCCAGGAATTCCTTCTGGACGAGTTGGATTTGGGTTGTGCATCCAGGAATTCCTTCTGGACGAGTTGGATTTGGGTTGTGCATCCAGGAATTCCTTCCGGACGAGTTGGATTTGGGTTGTGCATCCAGGAATTCCTTCCAGACTAGTTGGATTTGGGTTGTGCATCCAGGAATTCCTTCTGGATAAGTTGGATTTGGGTTGTGCATCCAGGAATTCCTTCCGGACTAGTTGGATTTGGGTTGTGTATCCAGGAATTCCTGCCGGACGAGTTGGATTTGGGTTGTGCATCCAGGAATTCCTTCCGGACGAGTTGGATTTGGGTTGTGCATCCAGGAATTCCTTCTGGACTAGTTGGATTTGGGTTGTGTATCCAGGAATTCCTGCCGGACGAGTTGGATTTGGGTTGTGCATCCAGGAATTCCTTCCGGACGAGTTGGATTTGGGTTGTGTATCCAGGAATTCCTTCCGGACAAGTTGGATTTGGGTTGTGCATCCAGGAATTCCTTCCGGACTAGTTGGATTTGGGTTGTGCATCCAGGAATTCCTTCCAGACGAGTTGGATTTGGGTTGTGTATCCAGGAATTCCTTCCAGACGAGTTGGATTTGGGTTGTGCATCCAGGAATTCCTTCCGGACGAGTTGCATTTGGGTTGTGCATCCAGGAATTCCTTCTGGACGAGTTGGAAACCTGCAAAACTTGACTTAACAGCTTTCAAAACTGTTTAACCTTTACTAGGATCAGTGAAAGACCTTCTGCAGTCCTCACAGAAGATCTTCCAAAATGTACCAAAATTTGGTCCCTTGGATAGATAATTAGGTAAATCCAGATTCCCTGCCACACCTCACCTTCTCCTAACGCCCATTTGTAATGCTCCCTCCAGACCTCGTCCACCATCTCCACTTATTATCACCCGTTCTTGGCCATAATTGTACTGCTTCCCTGAAATCTTTCACCTTTCAAAACTCTCTTCAATGTTCTTTGTATCCATCGGTTCTCCACCTTTATCTGTGAAGGTTCTCATTGATCCAGGTCATGGTATATCTAGAGGTAGACAGTTACATTGAACTGAACGTGTTCTGTAAAGAAGAAGTCGCTTCTCCAAACCATTTCTGCTGTTCCAATGAATGTCGGGAACTTATGCCAACGTTTATATTCACACCTTAAAGTGGTCGTAAAGGCAGAAGGTTTTTTACCTTCATGTATTCTATGCATGAAGGTAAAAAACCTTCTGTGTGCAGCAGCTCCCCCAGCCCCCTCAATACTTTTGGCCATTGGCTCCTGCTGCTGTCAATCACAGCCAATGAGGAGAGAGAGGGGGCAGGGTGAAGCCGTGGCTCCATGTGTGAATGGACACAAGGAGCAGTGGGTGCCCCCATAGCAAGCTGCTTGCTGTGGGGGCACCTGACAGACAGGAGGAGCCAGGAGAGCCTGTGGGGGACCCGAGAAGAGGAGGATCCGGGCTGCTCTGTGCAAAACCACCGCACACAGCAGGTGAGTATAGACGTTTGTTATGTTAAAAAAAAATGAACCTTTAGAATCGCTTTAAATTAAATCACTCACCAGGGAATGTGTAGATGTTGATTGTCCAAGAACAGGATGGGAGATAGAAAAATTTTGGAACTCCCCTGTTCTAGTTGCATCATCCCATCCTTAGTGTAAGGAAGTCTGCAGAGGTGTTCATTCCTCAATTTAAATGTGCAAATTGCTGTCAACACAAGAGCCGGATCTAGCATGTCTGATGTGGGAGTTAAAAAAAAAAATGTCAGGGGAGCAGAAAATGGGTCAACAAGGCAGTGTACAGGGGTCAGCAGGGCACTGTACAGGGTCAGAAGGGCACTGTACAGGGGTCAGAAGGGCACTGTACAGGGGTCAGAAGGGCACTGTACAGAGGTCAGCAGGGCACTGTACAAAGATCAGCGGGACACTGTACAGAGGTCAGCATGACACTGTACAGAGGTCAGCATGACACTGTACAGGGGTCAGTGGGGCACTGTACAGGGTCAGCAGGGCACTGTACAGGGGTCAGCATGGCACTGTACAGAGGTCAGAAGGGCACTGTACAGGGGTCAGCAGGGCACTGTACAGGGGTCAGCATGGCACTGTACAGAGGTCAGAAGGGCACTGTACAGGGGTCAGAAGGGCACTGTACAGAGGTCAGCAGGGCACTGTACAAAGATCAGCAGGACACTGTACAGAGGTCATCGGGGCACTGTACAGAGGTCAGCAGGGCACTGTACAGGGTCAGTGGGGCACTGTACAGAGGTCAGCAGGGCACTGTACAGGGTCAGCAGGGCACTGTACAGGGTTCAGTAGAGCTGAGAACAGGGGTCAGCAGAGCACTGTACAGGGTTCAGTAGAGCTGAGGACAGAGGTCAGCAGAGCACTGTACAGGGGACAGTAGAGCTGAGGACAGAGGACAGCAGAGCTGAAGACAGGGGTCAGCAGGGGCAGAGGAAAGGAGTCACAACAGTCAGGGCAGAAGACAGGAGTCAATGCTGGCAGGGCAGAGGGCAGGGGTCACTTTTGGCAGGGCAGAGGTGTTAAATCCTCAATTTAAATGTGCAAATTGCTGTCAACACTGTACAGAGGTCAGCAGGGCATTGTACAGGGGTCAGTAGAGCTGAGGACGGGTCAGCAGGGTGGAGGACAGGAGTCACTGCTGGCAGGGCAGAGGACAAGGGTCACTGCTGGCAGGGCAGAGGACAGGGGTCACTGCTGGCAGGGCAGAGGACAGGGGTCACTGCTGGCGGGGCAGAGGACAATGGTCACTGCTGGCAGGGCAGAGGACAGGGGTCACTGCTGGCAAGGCAGAGGACAGGGGTCACTGCTGACAGTGCAGAGGACAGGGGTCACTGCTGACAGGGCAGAGGACAGGGGTCACTGCTGACAGGGCAGAGGACAGGGGTCACTGCTGACAGGGCACTCAGCACAGCTCCTTCTCCTATGTCTGCACTGCACACAGCCTAGGCACAGGCAGCAGAGCTCCTCCTCTCCACACAGATAGCTTTTGCTTTGGAGGGGAACAACTAACCCAGCCACCGCCCCCCCCAGGTCTGGCTATGGCCAACATGCTGGAATAGTTATATTAAAACTACTTTGTATGCAGCCGACAGGTGAAATCGAAGGCCCCCACCCGCTGTTTATATGTTAGTGCCGTATTTCCCAACTGGGGGGCCACAGTACCCGGGATGCCATTTCAGTGCGGTCGGGTCTTACAGAAACTGCTATTTTTGCACAGCATCATGCAACTCCAGGGAGCAGTAGTAGGTGGGCAGCAATCAGGTCACCCCCAGGATCCATGAAGAGACACCTGCTCTGCTTCCTGCCCACTGCCATGCTACCACTGTTGGGAAGAGGTAGGACTCTCTTGTGAAAACAAGGGGGGCTGATGACTCTAATATGAAAGGTGTTTTAAAAGAGGGGAAGATCTGAGGATTCTGATGCAAATAAGAGGGAGATGGGGTGATTTCTCTGATGTGAAAGGGGGTGGGACTGAGGAATCTGGTGTGAAGGGGGCCTGAGAACTCTGATGTGAAGGGGGGCGGATAACTCTGATGTGAAAGGGGGTGGAACTGAGGACTCTGGTGTAAAGGGGAGGCGGGCTGAGAACTCTGATGTGAAAGGGGGTGGAACTGAGGACTCTGGTGTAAAGGGGAGGCGGGCTGAGAACTCTGATGTGAAAGGTGGTGGGACTGAGGACTCTGATGTAAAGGGAGGGGGCCTGAGAAATCCGATATGAAAGAGGGAGAATGAGTACTCTGGTATGAAAGTGGGGGGACTAAGGACTCTAGTGTAAAGGGGGGCTAAGAACTCTGGTGTGAAGGGGAACTGAGAACTCTGATGTGAAAGGGGGTGGGGACTGAGGACTCTGGTGTAAAGGAGGGGCTGAGAACTCTGATGTGAAGGGAAACTGAGAACTCTGATGTGAAGGGAAACTGAGAACTCTGATGTGAAAGGTGGTGGGACTGAGGACACTGATGTAAAGGGAGGGGGCTGAGAACTCTAATATGAAAGTGGGGGGACTGAGGACTCTGATGTGAAAGTGGGGGGACTGAGGACTCTGATGTGAAAGTGAGGGGATTGAGCACCGTGGTGTGAAAGGGAGTGGGACCAGGGGCAGACTGACAACTCATGGGGCCCCCGGGCAATAGGGGATCATGGGGCCCCTGTGTCCTCACCCAAACCCAAAAAACCTATGAACAAGCAAATGAAAAGTACCAGGGGCATCTCATGGGGCCCCCTAGTGAGCCCGGGCCCTTGGGCACTGCCCGAGTGCTCAAATGGTAAGTCCGCCCCTGGGTGGGACTGAGGACTCTGATATGAAAGTGGGGGGACTGAGGACTCTGATATGAAAGTGGGGGACTGAGGACTCTGGTGTGAAAGGAGGGGGGGGGCTGAGAACTCTTATATGAAAGGGTATGGGAATGAGGACTCTGATGTGACAGAGTGGGTCTGAGGACTCTGATGTGAAAGTGAGGGGATTGAGCACCGTGGTATGAAAGGGAGGGGGCCTGAAAAATCTGATATGAAAGTGGGGGACTGAGGACTCTGATATGAAAGTGGGGGAACTGAGGACTATGATATGAAAGTGGGGGGACTGAGGACTCTGATATGAAAGTGGGGGGACTGAGGACTCTGATATGAAAGTAAGGGGACTGAGGACTCTGTTGTGACAGAGGGGGGCTGAGGATTCTGATATGATAAAGGGGGGGACTGAGGACTCTGATGTGAAAGTGAGGGGATTGAGCACTGAGGTATGAAAGGGGGTGGGACTGAGGACTCTGATGTAAAGGGAGGGGGCCTGAAAAATCTGATATGAAAGGGGGGGTACTGAGGACTATGATATGAAAGTGGGGGGACTGAGGACTCTGATATGAAAGTAAGAGGACTGAGGACTCTGTTGTGAAAGGAGGGGGGGCTGAGAACTCTTATATGAAAGGGTATGGGAATGAGGACTCTGATGTGACAGAGTGGGTCTGAGGACTCTGATATGACAATGGGGGGACTGAGGACTCTGAGGGGAGGGGACTGGCTCCAATGCCAGTTAGAGATCAGATATGAGAACAATTATTGATCACAAGGAACTCCGAGCGCTGAATATTCAGTGACTGATGGTGGGAAGCAATGCCCCGCCTGCCTGGAGTCGATGTGGACAAAGTCGGGGCCCCTGAACTCCATAAATGACAACACTGGGAGTCATTATCTGGCTGTTGCATCCATCCTCCTCCCGCAGGGCGGGACCCCTCACCCTGGCCATGGTCCCAATGCAAGGACCAACGTAGGACAGGCAGTGGGAGGAACCGAGCGCCAACGCGCAGCTCAGCACATCAGAGGAACACATGACCAGCGCCGGGCGATGGGGCACAAGAACCTGCTGTGCTCTGTGATCAGCCCGGGGTGACGTCATACGTCGGCATCTCCAGAATGGACGTCTTTGTTAGCGGAGCACATCGGTCTGAGCCGGGATTGTTTTCCATGAACTGCTCCGGCCGGAACGTACACAAGCGTGCCGACCCTTCCCTGGGGCACCGTGCACTCAGTGACTACCGTGTCAGCATTGTCCATTGTTCTGGAGTCAGGGATATTGTGCTGCGTTCCTCAGAAACCCCGAAAGAACTACGAAAAAATAATAATAATCATAAAGCCATTCAAAGATAACGGGCTGCGTGACTCGCCTCTAATCCGAAGTTGTCCCTGCAGTACTGCTTTTCTACCACCAGTAGACATTAATTCGAGTGGAATCGAATGGAAAACAAATTCAAACTGTAAACACAGGACCGGGGATAAGGGGGTACCATCAGTATGGGGCCCAGGCCAGGAGGGGGGTCCAGACAGCTGGGTCAATCGGATGTGGGCAGGGAGGGTGATCGGTAGGGCAGGGGGCAATTACTGGAACCGATCCCCTGTATGGCTCTCTCCCTGCAGCAGCTGACGGCTGTCTTCTTCTCCAATCCCTCATCCTGGCAGGGGATCGGTTCCAGTAATTGCCAAAGGCGCCCCCATCACCCTCCATGTACACTTATGTTTCAGGTTAATTATTCGAGTGGAAAACAAATTCGAACTGTAAACACAGAGTCGTGGATAAGGGAGTACAACTAGTCCTCCTGTATGGGCCGAGGCCAGCAGGGGGGGCCAGACAACTGGGTGAATCGGATGTGGGCAGAAAGGGTGATCAGCATGGTGGGGGGGGGGGGGCAATTACTGGAACCGATCCCCTGTATGGCTCTCCCTGCAGCAGCTGAAAGCCATGGCTTCTCTCCCCTCCCCCTGCTGACTTTCAGCTACTGCAGACAGAACCATACAGGGGGTGGGTTCCAGTAATTGCCAATGGCGCCCCCCATCACCCTCCATGTGCACCATACGTTTCAGGTTAATTATTCGAATGGAATTTGAATGTAAAACAAATTCTAACTGTAAACACAGGGCCGTGGATAAGGGAGTACCACTAGTCCTCCTGTATGGGGCCTAGGCCAGCAGGGGGGGCCAGACAACTGGGTGAATCGGATGTGGTAAGGGAGGGTGATCAGCACGGTGGGGGGGGGGATTACTAGAACCGATCCCCTGTATGGCTCTCCCTGCAGCAACTGAAACCCGGCTTCTTCTCCTCTCCCTCCCGCTGACTTTCAGCTACTGCAGACAGAACCATACAGGGGGTGGGTTCCAGTAATTGCCAATGGCGCCCCCCATCACCCTCCCTGTGCACCATACGTTTCAGGTTAATTATTTGAATGGAATTTGAATGTAAAACAAATTTGAAATGTAAACACAGAGCCGTGGATAAGAGGGTACCAGCAGTTTTCCTGTGTGGGGCCCAGGCCAGCAGGGGGGGCCAGACAACTGGGTGAATCGGATGTGGGCAGGGAGGGTGATCAGCATGGTGGGGGGACAATTACTGGAACCGATCCCCTGTGTGGCTCTCTCTGCAGCAGATGAAGGCTGTCTTCTTCTCCTCTCCCTCCTGCTGACTTTCAGCTGCTGAAAAGAGAACCATACAGGGGATCGGTTCCAGTAATTGCGCATTCATCACCCTCCCTGTGCACCATATGTTTCAGGGTGGCTACATGGGGCCCCGTGGTTTCTAACAGCAGCCCTGTGTCAACATATTGCCAATTAGAAAAATAATTAACCCCCCCCCCCCAAATAAAAATGAAAGCCCAGCACCTACAAACACAAATATAAATATGTATCAGGTGCGCCTACATAGGACGATGACGTTTGCCTCATTATTGGGTAAATTGTGCACCACCAATCACTTATCTCTAACTGGATGATCTGTAAAAGCCTCCAGAGCGCCACCTATGGACGATTTTGGGTTGCTGTGCTTTGTCCCCATTGCACAGGCAAGCACAGTTTTAGGGCTTGACATGTTGGGTATCTATTTGCTCGATATGACCTCATCTTTTACATTTTGCCACAAATTCAGTAATACATTGGGGTTGATTTACTAAAAGCAAATAGTTTGTGCTCAGCAAGAGTAGCAGATCTAAATCTGAGGAGAAGCTCTGCTGATTTCTATCATCCAATCACGTGCAAGTAAAACTGCTGGGTTTTATTTTCTGATTGGGTATTCTAAGTGATGCTTCACCTCGTTTACTAAGTTTTGGAGCAACTGCACTTGCTGCACACAGACTATTTGCCTTTAATAAATCAACTCCACTGCGTTTGTCCACACTAACATGAACTTTGGTGTATTTTTTTTTTTTACGGAAAATGTGGATTTGACACACAAATGGTCCAATATTGTGAAACCGAAGGGGTCTCTGCTTTCAGAAAATAATGTATGGGGGGGGGGGGGGTTGTTCACTAATCTTCAGGCCCAAAATGCGTATTTTGAAC